AAAATCGAATTAAGAAGGTAAACATGGAACTATGGGAGAAAAACCATACCAATCCGATGTGTGAGAAACACGGCAAGTGTGACGAAGATAAATGGGAGGAGACAAATCATCTAGTGTAGGATCTGATGTGATATGGTATTTTCCCTATATATTGTTTCAAAAATTGAGATCTTATCATGATTTGATTAATAATTCCACTACCTATTATACTGTGATACATCACACAACACTTAGGAGATTAATTCCATATATACTTCTCAAACGCCCTTTGAAGGAAATCAGAGGGCGAAATCAGAGGGGATAAAATTATTTTTTGCACTGGATTGTTATATGGAAAAAATATATATGAGAATTTAAATGGGTTTGGGGCAGCTCTGGACCTCATCCCTTCATTTCCTTGATTTTTCTATTTAATTACTTCTTTATTTGTTTTAGTTTAAAAATAAGTGTATATTTTTCTTTTCCACAAATGATTATTTAGCATTTGATGAACAATTTCCATAGTACTGTATAGGGACTAGTGCACACTAGAGATGGCAATTCGAACCGTCAAAATTGAAAATCGCGGTTAACCGAACCGAATTGGGCGAAAAAAATCGAACCGATGGTGCAATGGCACGGATGTAGTATTTGATTTTAATGAACCGATTCGTGGCGGGGTGGGTATGGTATTTACACCATCGCCCCGAACCGAACCGATTAACCGTTAGAAAAAATAATAAATTAATAATAATTGGGCTTTCCATAATTTTTTGATATTTTATATGTTAACTACTTAATTTCTTTGGCCCAAAAATTCTGGCACAGTAACAAATTAAATTTAAACTCAAGTACCCAACCCTGAACCCTAACAATCTAACACAAAGGCACAAACATTTTATTGGAAAATTGGAATCTCAACTCCTGCCTTCTGGGTCTGCCGAGTGCCGACTGTTGTCTTTTCCGCCTCCGCCCGTTTGCATTATTTTCTTCTCCTTCGACCTTCAGGCTTTTGACACTAGTGAGCTTCTCATCTTCTTTTTTGATAATTTGTATTTGTCTATTTGAATTTGTTGTGAATTTCGCACAAGATTTGACCAAAGTATATCCAGAGTTTTCAGTTTTTTACAATTGGTGGCCGCTTTAGAGATCCTCTTTGATGACTTTTGGCCTAAACAACACATAAACAAGAAATTGAATTCTTTAATTACAGAAACCAAAGTTTGGTGACGAGGATATTGATGAAGAGTAACATTTTTTTGTTTAAATCTTCAGTTAAGAACATTATAGATTATTAATTTATTACTCTACTTACATTTCTTATATACTATATAAGAATCAATTTTGAGTTTTGATAAGAGTTGTGGGGAAGAATGAAGATTGAATATGAATTTAGGTTGGCGCTTTTTGAGTTATTGAATATTGTTTGTTAAATTTGGATTTTGTATTTGAGAATTGGGATATTTTTTGCATTTTCACTTGAGAAGTTGTTTGCTACATTGATTTAGTATCATGCTTTTGTTTTCATTGACTTTTT